ATAAATGCGATAGTGCAGTCTTGAAACCTCGTGCGAATCTCTTGCTCTATCGCATTTATTCATTTTCTTTTATTTTTACTTTTTTTTCTTTAATTTAAATATACCGTTATTTTTCTCTTAAAATATTTTTTATCTCTTTTTATCCATTCACTTACTCATTCTCTTTTTCTCTTTTAAGTCTCTTACGGGTACGTTCGAAGTTTCGCGAAATTACTTCAACATTTTTCACATAGGTGAGTTTACACAAGACTCTTCATGGAAGAAGGTTTACGTATATTTTCGAGGACTTGCAATAGATTTAATTTATTGACTTTTCGCAATAAATGTTAAAATAAAAAAAATATATATATACATGTATATATATTTATATACTCTGTATCGTGCACTTGCGTCATCTAATTAAATTATAATCTTTTAATCACACAAGTGTAGTCTTTTCCTTATTTCTACTACGCAGACATTTGTTTCACGTAATTTTATCAGTCTTTCTACATTTTTATACTCCATGAATAAAAATTTTTAAATATATTTCATCACTTAATCTAATTTTTGAGGTGATACAAAACCACCTCCAGCGAGAGTATAAAAAATATCTATTGCAGCCTCAAAAAATACCTCGGTAGTTGACACAGTACAATGGGTATCCGTTCTTTCTCTCAAAACTGCATTTTTTTAAACACCGACCAAACACGTGAACACATAATGTAATATTGAATTTTTACTCCTTTTCTCACACATCCCAATCAGCAACAATATGTAAAAATTTCCTTATAATATAATACGTTGTGAATCTAAGAAATAAGCGGAAGGCAAAGATCAAAGTTAAAATTTTCATTTTTTCTTAGGCGACGCTCATTGTACTATGTCAATAAGGAAGAATGTAATCGCATGACAAATACAGCTTGGTTTTTTTTTTTTTTTTTTTTTTTTTTTTTTTTTTTTTTCATTTTCGAGTGAACAAACGACTTGANGGGTGAATGCGAAATAGTGTTGAGAAGTAGGGATAGGCGGATCCGATGGGCCAGGCAGGGATCGCCAGCCTTACCGGTGAGGAGTTGTCCCTGAAACATGGGGCTTTTCCAAGGATGCTAATTAGCCTAGATCCGATGCGTCGGCAGAGAGCGCCAGCTTAACCAGCGAGGAATAGACGTTCTAAAATATGGATTCCTCCGGGTAAGAGCTGCACAGTGGCAAATGGACCCAATGCACCGTCGGTGCAGAGAGCGTCAGCTTAACTGGCAAGATATTCCAACAGAGATACTCGCACTGTGCCCATGGTTTAGGTATAAGATCAGTAAAAGAGTTGGAAAATGGGTGCGGCAATACACCCCCACACATAGGTGGTGAGTGGGTGGCCTCGGCCACTTGGCCTAAGAGCTGTCGTAGTAACCTGGTAAAAAAAAAAAAGAAAAAAATAAATAAATGGAAATTTCCCTTCTTTCCAATCTATAGTCACGTGACGAAAAAAATATTCTGAACCGATAAAAATCCACAGAAATGCCTATAACGACACCATACGTCATGTAAGTCGAAATAGAAAAAAAAAAACATGGAAACGAAAGGAACGTACTTTATAAGCTTGAAAAAAAAAATTTTCCGGGCCTCCACGGGAGGAAGACTAAACGAAGCGTCAAAAATGTACAACTTATACCCTAATTACCATCGACGTTCGGCTGTTCGCTCGTCTCCTCGGGTCGCTCGTCTATCGGCTCCAACACCTCGTCGACCTTGGCGTAATCCTCCTCCTCCTCCTCGTCTTCGTCATCATCATCGTCGACAACCACGTGTTTGCCGTTTTCCGTCGCCTGCAACGCGTCGACGATCCTCTGCTCCAAGTTGAGCTTTTTCACGGAGTTGATGAGGAGAATCGGGTTGTCGTCGTCGTCGTTACCGTTTTCACGGTTGTCGTTGTTGTTGTCCGGTTCTTGCCACGTGTGCGGTACAAACGTCATCCGCACTATTGTGTAGAGCTTGCGGAAGCCGAGCTTTTTGTACAAGCTCTGGCTAGCCTCGTTCTCCGGTCTTATCACCACGAATGGCTTGTAGCCGTTCTCGGCCACCCTTCTCGTTAGGAACCTGAAGGGCACAATTGCGCGGGGGGTTAGTGTGATGGTGAGCCGAGACAGAGCCAGCAAAGAAGATTCCTCGGTACACGAATTTTTTTATTTTTTTTTATTATTATTTTTTTTTTTCAACGTAAAGTGTACGGGTTAGTTGTAGTAGCTTACTGATTGAATGGCAAAACAAAAAAAAACATCACGAGCTAGGGGCGTGTTGCAAGCTGTCACGCTTTTGCGTGTCATAGAAGACGCCAGTTTATTTTATGTAACATACAGATGAAAAATTTTGTTTTTCACGGCAATGCTGTATTTTTTAGGGATCCAAACGAGTTTTGCGTTCAATGCTTGTCTTAACAATTTTTAAAAAATTTTTTTTTTAGTAATTTTAAGGCTTTACTATGATTGTTTTAACGTCCAAACACAAGTTTTTTGTTTATCATTTATGTTTCAACGAATCCAGAATTTTCTTTTGAAAAACATATTCGTGAAAATGATCAACAGATAAAAAACCCAGGTTTTCTCGTTATTAGTTTAATGTTTAATGAAAACGTTTTCCGTTAAAAAGACCAACCTCGCCAGTTTGGTGCCGTATCCTTTCCTGCGAAACTCGGGTTTGGTCTGCATCGAGAACATGGCACCGTAGTACGACTGCACCATCCAGGCGGCCAGGCTGCCGTTAGCGAACACACCGGCAGCCGACAGATTTTTGATCAGCCGTAGAAACAGCTCGTGGCACTCCATGTCGTTCGCAGGGTAGAGCTCGTGTATACCCTCGGCGTGCTCGGCTCTCAGTGGCAGCACCTTTTTTCACGCGAACGTTATATTATTGTATAATCGGGTGGCAAGCATTGAATAATCATGCAACTACACCGAGCATCCCGATTCCTCGAATCAAAGAATTAGGTTTTTTTTTTTTTTTTTTTTTTTTATTAAAAAAACTTTTATTTTTTTAAAATAATGGTTACGTTGGGGTTTTTTTTTTTTTTTTTTTTTTTCAACGCGTCAGAGGTAAAGATAAATTTTCATCGTTATTTTGTAATATATGTTTCTTTTTTCAAAAAAAAAAACTTGGTAATTTAATGTAAAAAAAAAGTAATGATCCGATCAATTTTGATAAAAGAAAACAGATTACCATATTGAGGGTGAAAAAATGTTCTTTGATTCGAAAAATTGTGTTGGTAAGCGAAGAAAAGAAAGAAAAAAAAAAAAAAAAAAAAAGGTGAAACCTGCACGTCCACGTTGTCAGGCCCAACTTCGTCGTCGGACTGTTCCGTTTTCTCGGGCTCATCGCAGGCCCAGACGTCACCGTAGACTCGCTCGATGCTACCGTGGCCCTCGTAAAGCCTCGCCAGCTCCTCCGCTATGTCCGAGTGGACGAAGTTTATGTACAGTGGCTTGGCCCAGTTAACGAGGACGTCCTCCTCCCGCAGCAACTGCAGGCAGTCCAGTCTGTCGTTCGGACAAAACGTGCCCACGCTTTCGTACAGCAGACCGTGGCACTGTAAGGTTTTTTTTTTTTTTTTTTTTTAATCATTACAGATGTTAACTGTATACGTTACTGCGTAAGGATAATCGAGGATGGGCTTTCAGGTAAGGGGTTATCCGAGTGATTTTTCATTATTAGTGGTGGCGTGGTGAAATTTGTAAAAATGCATTTTATCATTTATCACCGATGGAAAAAGGAAAACGTAACTTTTCTCATTACACAGTTAAAATACAATATTTACTCGAACTCTTTACAAATAAAGTTCTAAACGTTTTCTCGATGATGGAGTATATTTTACATTAAGAAATTGCTGCTGATTTCATAAAATTTCTCATAGAACGAGATTTTTTTAATTTTCAAACGATTTCAGTTGACTCCAGATTAATTTCGTTAAGTAAGGTCTGAATGATTTCATAACAACCTTAGAATTCTATTGTTTAAATTTTTGAAAGAAAAAAAAACAAACATCCGATTTATTCAACTTGGTGAAACAATATATGATTGATTGATGTTATTGTTTGCAAAACGTTACATATATAAAATATAGGGTGGGGATTTTAGAGAACAAAAAAAAAGTATATCTATCTCAACTGCACGTTTCTCAACGCACTTGGATCCAAAGTTTATTCACCGATTGAAACAATAGACTTTGAATAAGACAACGACTACTCGCACTGATTTACTCGCACAGTCAATAGGTAAATAAACATTCCCATTGAAATATTCAATTGATCATCTAATTACTCCAATAACCAAACATGTATAGAATTAACTTTACATTTCATTGCAAAGTACTCTTACGGAATTCCGGAAAAACCGAGTCCCCGTAAAATAGCTACGTAATCACAGAAGCGCTACGTCCCGCATATACAACTTTTTTTTTCACTACCCCTGTATGTAGTAACCCGACAGCCCCTATTATAAAAAAAAGAGAAGAAAAACATTTGGATAGAAAAAAAAAAGTAAAATAAAATCTCCGCCCGACAGTTAAATTCGTTTTTCAAATTAACCCCCTTTCAGTTTAGGCAAGAGAAAAATAGTCGCTATAAAAGATGGAAAAGGGGGGGGGAGAAGGGGCAGCGGGAAAGTCAATAGCAATATCCTCTCAGGATTTTCCGGCGAGCGAGTTAGTAGAGCGGCTGTATTGGCCTCCCGAAAGACGATGCCAAGGGGTAGAAATTTATCTGTGCTGCTGCTGCGAGAATCTCACGATAAGGGGTTCTACATCCATCTTTTGCTTGAGTTGGGATTTAAAGTGAGTACACACTAAAAGATTTTAAATTGAAGGTCATTTCGATACACAACATGCGTACACTAAATGCAAAGAAGACAGTATTCGATTGTTCCAGATTTGGGGACAAGTATTTTGCGAGATTAAGTATTTTGTTCCGAAAACCTGACGCAGAATACTATACTCAATAAAAAGTTTTCTTGAACGAAAAAAAAAAAAAAAAAAATAGTGCGATACATTTTTTCAAAGGGTAAAGTGTGGGTTGAAACTTTTATTCATTTCAATAATTATTACGTGGATAAAGAAAAATAAAAAAAAACAAAAAAAAAAAAACAAAAAACAAAAATAAAAATAAAATTCGAAGTTACCGCAATTTTATTTAATTTTATAATCGCTCTGCTATTATCGCCACTAATATTAACTGCTCGATCGAAAAGTTCTTATCCAACACGTTGAAACCTTACCTGCTGTTGTTATTCTGTATCGTCATGATTTATTTATCCACGCTTGGGGTCCCTCCCCCCTTTTCCTTTAATTAAAAACATTGACACCTCCACATAATGGACCCTTAGCCGACGCATACAAAAATTTAAAGAAAAAAAAAAAAAAAAATTGATTCCCAATGGTTGAACGGCAAAAATTCACAGCTTAGTTGACAAGGGGGTCGGGGAGGAAGCGTATACCTTCGCGCCGAGGGGTGTAAATATTCATAAAGGCCACACGGCAATTTCGCCAAATTAATTCAGCAGCAGGCTGTTAGTTTCAAGTTTCGACGTTTTACTTTTGGGAAGATTTTTCTCGAGATCTCCCTTCCCGCTTGCCAGCAAGGAGCGCGTGAGAAGCATTGCAATGAGATCCAAAGGAGGTCTTTACCGCGCACAAGACGCGGTCTGAGCGCCGAGTCGATCAAAGGCTCATCCGTGTATTCGCGAGCCCATGTAAATAGGAAAAAAAGGCCAGGACAGCGTACACGAGCTATAGTTTTCATCCCCCACTTTACGTTTCCCCTTCGAAGCTCACCTCCTCGATCGTTGCGGTGCGTGTCCAGTAGTGCCCCTCGAGCAAGCGAGTTCTCGGACACCAGGATAATTCAAGGACTTTAAGGAAAAACTTCCCCAAGGACTTGGTGGGAGGGAAAAGCAAAGAAAAGACCATTAGGTATATACTCACACGCGAAAGGGAAAGAGACAAGAAAAATAGGTATGAGGTGAGCTCGGCGGAAATCGAAAGTGCAACGCGGCTGAGTGTAAGGAGGTGGTAGGGGAGTACACGTGCGGAACCTTGGCTCGGTGCCGAAAAACAAAAAGGCTCTCTATTGTAGCTGTACTTGTGTGTGTACGTGGTAATGGAGCTTACCCCTCTTTTGTGAGTTTTTTTTTTTTTTTTTTTTTTTTTTTCACGAGGTATATTATTTTAGCGAATGTGCATTAGCACAGTTGCGGTAGAATCGAATTTTTATGTCTTGGATCAAGGAAGTAGTGAGCGTCTTGGTGCTGAATAAAACACGGGCCTGTACCGAGTCTTATTTTAGAAAAAAAGGGGGTAATACTTTATTGGCTTTGACTTTGAAGTAAGATTTTTTTTTAAATCGTACTCTATATAAAAGAACAAAATTTTACGAAAATCATCGGGACAAAGATAATCACAGGAAAAAAACAAGTTTATACCGTGAGGTATCATCATTTTGGGTTTATTTATCAGCTGTAACGGAATAAGCCTGACTTCTGCAGATTATGTGAGTATACTTTTATTCAATGCACGAACAAACGACCGATCGATGGCAGCAGATATATTTCGTGAAATTAAACTTTTTTCCACCATCCAACCATCGCATCGTAATCCCAAGCAAAGTGATCGTCCATTATAACATTACTCGGCTGTCGATAAGCGTCAGTCAGAGGAGGGAAGAAAAACTTCCTCTTCTCGACAGCTCATGGCGCACTCCATTTGAGAGGAAAAGGAAAAAAAAAGTAAAGAAGGAGGACAATCCTGCAGCGCGAGCTTTTATTCGCTTTTCTTAGACTTTCTTTCTGCAGCCTGACATTGTGTACACACGCTCGAGCGCCGCACGTATACGTAAAAGTGGAATCTCGAATAATCGAGAAAAAAGTTTCCACTGCAGTGAATCTTACGCCATCCGATTGGATTATAATTTCATGACAGTCACGATCGAAGCGTATGCTCGAGTTAGTGTCTTTCCGGACGAAATTGCCTGTGTGGTGAAATTTATTATTTTTTTTTTTCAGGCAATTTTTTTTTCTAAAATTATTTATTGGAAAGTGATTACATTTAATATACATCGATATATCATTTAAACTCTATAATAACAAGTGTATTTTCCGTGATGTATCAATCAAGTACCACAAAAATCCAATATTTCTCTTAATAACTGTCAATAAAATTTATAATGTATTTTAATAAAATTCACAATTATTTAGTAAATATAACAAAATAAAGATTAATAAAGTTAAAAAGAAAAAAAATTCGGTAGATTACTATTACTGAAGTACAATGAAATAACCTCCGACTCTTCCAACACAACTAAAATTTATGACTTATAATTTATCCGATGATTCAAATTGATGATCTACAAGAATCTTCCTATTAGAGGCAACAAATTTATGAAAACGCTACATCATAAAGATATGCTGTTTCCAACTAGTGTTTTTGTGCCTTCGTTGCAACTATACATTTTAATAAGACGTGAAGCGAAATAGGAATGCGTCTCCGTGTGTAGTTTACTCTCCCATGAGTTATCCGGCGATTGGCAATTTGCCTTGTGTATCGAGAAAGTCGCGTTTTGTTTCCAATGTATTATAGTGCAGTATGCGCTTTTGCTTCTCTTATTACTGGGTTTCATTTCGATGTTTCGTATAATGAAGTGGCTCCTCGAGGTTTGGGATGGACGTAAATTTTAAAGGAAAATCGATTTATTTAAATTATATTTTTTAAACTATTAATACATTTTAAGTATCCCAGTACTTCAACTTGAATAGATTTTTTTATAGGTTTGTAAAAAAATTATTTACAAATCTCACGCATTTTTTGCTGCAAAATTGTTTTTAAAAACTTAAGTTTCTTTTAAGGTGTTGAAACACTTTAACATTTTTGTTTTATAATTTTTTTTTTTTTTCTTAAAAAATATACCACATGATTTTTCTTTTCAAACATTGGGATGAAAATTGAAATTAAAAAGAATTTTCATTTCAATGAATAAATTATATTTTTAGAATAAAAACATCACGCGAAACCTGTATCTACTTGTCAAGAGGTTTATGAAATACTGTATTTTTGCATACAAAATCTATAAATGTTCAACTTCACTAATGACGTCAACGAGAAAACTTCTTCGTTGAAATATGAAAGCTTCCCAGTACCTTTACATTATATGCATATAAATATTAATAGAATCTATAATAAAAGTGGGATGAAGTTGATTCCAGCATGACTTAATATTGTGTGGTTACGGCATTGATGTTTCATTTATTTTTATCCGTAGGTAATTTAAAAAAATATTGATGATGAAAAAACCAAAGAATAAAAAATTAAGAGACGTATTTCTTTGTAATATGCAAGTTCGTAAAAGTCAAATATCATCAGAACATATTTCAATGCCAGACAACAGATGCAGATTTTTTAATGAAAGAAAAAAAGGGTGAGGAAGGTTCGTTAGGTCCGGAGAATATTTTATCCGTACGAGCCAAATTAAAAACAGTGAAATGACATCGATTCGATTTTTGTATGCTTCAAGGAATCACGAATTTAAATTTACACCAGATATGAAAGGATTTAACTTTTTTTCTTTTCTTTTTTTAATCACTTGTCTGAATTCGTAATTTGGACAAGTTTTGTCTGAAAATTTTTACCAATGACAAAAGAAATTCAAGAGGAAATTACGAGCAGCCAATCATTTCTCGAAAAATGCAATTTCGTTCGAGTTGTACTTGAAGATACCCGTGAAAGAATGAGATTTTATTATCATGCATTTTCATTACTCGTGCAAAATATCTAATTAAAAAATGAATGAAAAGTTTTAATGAACAGCCTTTTCAGAGGTAGACCATATAAATACTTCGATTTAAATAATAAAATTATTGTTTTGGACATACACAATATGCCTCACAGCTCATATACTTTTACACAAAAAATATCAGCTTTCTAAATACAAAAGCAAATAAATTGAAAAAATTTGATCTATAACATTCTGATTCACCGTAAGTTTCTCTGAACGTAGTGTACGAGCATACGAGAACTTTTCGAGCTTCGAAGCTTTGAATGATCTATTTTTAAACTTCGTCTCGAAAACTTTTTTTCATTCAGCGTCAGGACGATACCATATTACGTCCACACAGGAGTTTTCAACTCTGATTACATTTTCAATTATGACGTACTTGAATCGAAACATTTTACGAAATTTTTCAGGACGAGAAATTTTTATTTAAAATATAATTTCACATTTTCGCACGTATGAAACTGCAAGATGTTTCGCGAGTATTTTTTTCTCGCTAACGTTGCTTCTCCAATTCGGTTCATTCGTGCGTATGAAAAATCCACGTGTATATGCACTGGATTTTCCGTGTCGGATCGGTGCATCGTTTTATTTCGCGTGACCACCCGAATGCAAACGGGCACACGTCTCGCGCACCTTATGAGCAAAAATTTGAATGATTGCGATGTAATACCCACTGCGTCCATAGGTCACGAAAGTCATGAAATAATGTGTTGACGGTATTTTACAAAAACTTTCCTCACGAGGGGCTCCACGCTCTCAAAGTCGTTGAAAAAAAAAAAATAATAATAAATGTGCTTAAAGAGTTATCGAATTGAAAAAAATAAAACGAGTTCGCTCGACTTGACGAGAGAGGAAACATTTACATGGAAGGTGGTGCCGAGCGGATGAAAAAATGAGAAGATTTCGTGTGTAGGCTTTACTTACCGACAGTGTCATACCGGGAAAGTGGAGGCACATAGGTACTTCCGGCCAGTCGTTGGCTACGTAAAAGTGAAACTCCCACACTCTGTTGCGCATGTAGGTCAGCAGGGTCTGGTGGAACTGCCGGGGGAAGAAAGCAGAGTGAAACATTTTTATATTATTCCTTTTTTTTTTTTTTTTTTTTTTTTTTTTTTTTTTTTTTTTTTTTTTTTCCTCTTTGGCGCTCGAGACGTAATGGCCTGTTTACGAATTTTTTCCTTCATTACGCGCGATCTCGAGCGGGGGATGAAAGCGACGGCGCAAACTGTGCGGAAGGGGTGTTTTCTCTGCTCAAAAGGGTACATTGCGAAAATCATCGGCTTCGCGTTCAAGGCTGGGTGGCCGCATTTGTTTTCCAAGTATACTCTTTTATGAAAAAAAAAAGAAGATATTACAAGCGTCATTTGTTAATTCTGAAACTTTATTTTTGAGATGAGCGGATTTCAATGGAGGATTATATTTAGAAGTTTTTGAAAGATAAATATATATATACTTTTAAATTTATTGCAGCTGAAATATTTGTTTACACCTGTCAAAGGCTTTTTTTTCTTCTCATCCAAATAAGTAGATTTTCGTGGAAATTGTTAAGTTCTTTTTCAATAATGGAAAAAAAAAAAAAAAACTTTACGCGTTTCAGTTGTCTCGTGCCGAGTTACGTGGTAAAAGCAATGTAATTATAGATGGATAATGCCGAGGGTGATTGTATCACATGAGTATGGCAAGGTATTCTAAACTTAGGCCATATTGTTCAAGACGAACTTGATCATTTTTTGTTATTTTTATTTTATTTTTTATTAAAGTTGCAAGGATTACTGTTGAATAAAAAAAAAAATTCATAAAATACAAGATGTCTTCTCCAGATTAAACTTTTCCCGACAAGGATGACGAACTCTGAACAAATGTATAATATAAATTTATAAACTTCGATATGCAGAATGACAGAATTTTCTACTCCAAGTCAATACTGCACTTGTACGTAATGAAAGTAATTAAAAAGAAAAAAAAAAAAAAAAAAAAAAAAAAAAAAAAAAAATTGATTCCCAATGGTTGAACGGCAAAAATTCACAGCTTAGTTGACAAGGGGGTCGGGGAGGAAGCGTATACCTTCCTTACTGATTGAATGGCAAAACAAAAAAAAACATCACGAGCTAGGGGCGTGTTGCAAGCTGTCACGCTTTTGCGTGTCATAGAAGACGCCAGTTTATTTTATGTAACATACAGATGAAAAATTTTGTTTTTCACGGCAATGCTGTATTTTTTAGGGATCCAAACGAGTTTTGCGTTCAATGCTTGTCTTAACAATTTTTAAAAAATTTTTTTTTTAGTAATTTTAAGGCTTTACTATGATTGTTNGCCTTTGAGCACCGACCATTTGTTATCGAGCTTCAAACCTATAAAACTATGCTTTTTTTTTTTTCTTTTTTTTTGTTAATTCGAGACTTGCGAAAGGGGCATACAATCGATCGCCACAGTTTTTTCTCTCCCACGAGCTTTCACTGTACACATGTTATACACGTATGCGCACATGCGATCCTCCCTTCTACCGGTACGGATTACGGAAGCCCAATTTGTACGTTAACGAGTCAATCAGCGCAGCGAATCCTCCACGGGTGACGCCGCGTCAGGCATGTATATGTACAATCACCTCGAGCTCCCCGCAGCTGCTCAGCTGGGATTCGTTTTTAAGACGCTTTTTTTTTTTGCGGATATGCATGTTCTTGCTTTTTTTTCCCCTCCTCTGATTTAAAGTCGGTTTATATCGTTCGGGGTACCCATCGGGTGTTATCGCGCGACATTCGCGCTTTTTATCGCTGCAGATGTTGGCGTGTGCAATCTTGAGCTTGGGCAAGTATTAAACGACTGACCTTTGGGGTATTACTGACTAGTATTAAAAAAAAAAAAATAAGGAAGAAGCATTGGGTTTCGTTGGTCCCAAGGTAAACGGGACCATCAATTCGACCACTTTCTTTGAAATTGTTTAACTTTATCTTTTGATTACTTTATGAAAACAAAAAAAAAAAAAAATAAAAAACTACCCTTTGTTTATTTTTTGAGAACTACGAGTACCACAATCAATAAAAGCAGGCAATATTTGTTAATTATTGTATTTTCCTTCCAATTAACAAGAGAAGGGAAAAAAAAAAAAAAAAGAAATGAAAATAAAAAAAGTCGCGATGTGTAAAACAACACTCAAATAGTGAACGACGAAAGCGCGCCACAATTTTATTTCGATTAAAACCCAGCGGTGAAATTCGTTTCTCTGGGGAAAAAAAACAAAACAAAAATTGTATTCTCTTCGGTAGAGGAAACCAATACTATCGCCTCAACAAGGACCCCCACCGAAAAAATAACGACACCGCAGACCCGCAATAATTCCATCCATCAATCTCCTGGTGCGTGCAAACATCGCTCCACCAATGAACGCTCAGGACTTTACCCTAATTTTACCAAACACGGAACAAACGAAGAAAAAAAAGGAGAAAGGGACGAAAAGGAAAAAACACGCACCCTCGGGCCTCAACGTACATTATACAAAAGCACCTCTATTATAGACGCGGAAACGCGAAAATGTTGGTTTATTGCACACACTCACACACTGTGTGTTGAACTGCAACGTGAATGCATACGATTACTAGAAGAGCGTAACCTTGACCCCTCAACCAGCGCGGCGTTGGGCTTGTATACCCTGTACAACAGTATACGCGGGTATACGCGAAGTTCAGGGATCGCGGCTGCGTGGTGATAACGCGCCACTCGTTAGCTCTCTGTGCATGGGTTGCGCGTGTACTTATACTTGTGCAATTAAACAAATGGTACAGGCGCGCCTATAAATACTAAACTTTAAGAAGGATCTTTTTTTTTTTTTTCTGAGTTACGTACATTTCAAGGGGGGGGGGGGGGCACGTATTTGGAGCGGAGAGAGTGAAAATATTTTTTGAATTTTTTTTTTTCCTCTTTCGTGACTTCTACCATGAGGTGACTCGCCTCCCCTTTCAACGAGGATTTTTCATTTTCCCACTCCCCCGTCCCACCTCTTCCCTACTAGTTTCCGCTGCAATTAGCGCGCGACGCTTACGTTATTTGTATGCGGCAAAAATGTCCGCATTTCCGGCGCTAATAGATCATTAGCTGTAATACAACGACGCGAGCGATTTTTAATTTAACGTTACGTATTGCTAGGCAATAAAAGTATATAATGTCATGCGTACCCTATACAAGGTCGGGGGCTAAGCTGTGTTATGAAGCGAATGTCGAGTGCGTTTTTTTTCCTCACCCTTTTAGCAAATGTATACTGTCGACGTTTGCAAAGGAGGATAAATGTCGTACGGGTGCGTTAGGGGCGGCCTTGAAACTCTTTGGGTTCGGTTTTTGGGCTTTCTTCCCCCTCGCGGTCCGCGTATGGGTACGTAAACGAAACAAAGATACAACATCTTTTGGAAGTAGCTTCAAAGCATTGGCCTGATTTTTGCGATTAGAAAAACAATTTTTTATGAGGGAAAAAAGAGTTGTGAGTTCATTAAAAATATATNCCTTTACATGTGTACTTGAACAGTTAACAGTATAGACATGATTTTTAATTACAAAATTTTTAACTCGTTTAACGGTAAAAACCTTTTGTAATGACACACTTGTATAGAGGCTTCTTTTAATATTTTACTAAAAAAAAAAATCAATCATTATCATCGTGTGAAAAAAAATTGTTTTCCTTCAACTTTTGTTCATAAAATGTACATTTAACAAAGTGAAAAACTTGTGGCGCGCACAAAAATAATCACCGGTTAAAAATACACTTCAAAGACATAAGGTGTCTTTTGTGCACATGCCACGTCCGCAAACTTGTTTTTGTTGGAAGAAAAAAAAAAAATTTCACTTTAGACAATTATTTATTACTCAATGTATACGTGTACAGGGAGTTCAAGTGAATTATCGTCGCGATCGGAAACATATCGTTATATCCCTCGAGAATATACTTAGCGGAAACTAAAAACTTGATGCAACGCCGAGAAAAGTTTTATCCCAAATCAGCAGCAAAGTATATCAAGCACACGTAAACTACCCAACTGTGTAGAAGGGACTCCTGTACATACGAAAACAATTCCCTTCGTCGAGCAAAAGATCTTTTCGGTATTTTATTCCTCGAGGACCATCGGGCCATGATTACAAGGATTGCTCGATTCGCTGACTCGGCCCCCTTCCTTTTTTTTATCAAATCGCCAGTCGCTGAATCGTTGGTGTTAAAATCGAATGTAGCCGTCGCGACGATGTTTTTTAGGGCCTTTGAGCACCGACCATTTGTTATCGAGCTTCAAACCTATAAAACTATGCTTTTTTTTTTTTCTTTTTTTTTGTTAATTCGAGACTTGCGAAAGGGGCATACAATCGATCGCCACAGTTTTTTCTCTCCCACGAGCTTTCACTGTACACATGTTATACACGTATGCGCACATGCGATCCTCCCTTCTACCGGTACGGATTACGGAAGCCCAATTTGTACGTTAACGAGTCAATCAGCGCAGCGAATCCTCCACGGGTGACGCCGCGTCAGGCATGTATATGTACAATCACCTCGAGCTCCCCGCAGCTGCTCAGCTGGGATTCGTTTTTAAGACGCATTAGCAGCACAAGCTGCGAGGTTTCGGGACGCGGGATCGAGGTGTTTGTCATTGCGTTTTTTTTTTTTTTTTTTTTTTTTTAGAAGTACATCTTTATTTGTAAAATTTTGGTAAAAACTGTGATATTTCCGTGTTCTGACAAAAATAAATGTAGCTGTCTCTTTTTTTTTTTGATAATTTGTGTTGTATATTTTTTTTTTTTTTTTTTTTTTTTTTTGCCTTTAAACGATAAGTAAATGGAATCCGAAGTTTTTCGTGTTTTAGTTTTATTGTAGTTTTAACTTAAAACACGTGCCAACTACACGCTCACAAGGATGCGTTGTCGATGCAACCAATATTACCAATTTATTGAAAAAATACGTAGCTACTATTTACCCATGTATTTTCAGTACACGAGATTTTTTTTTTTTTTTTTTCTTTTTAAGACAATTATCAATACATTGCAAAAGCGTTTTTTACTTTCAATATATTTTTATGCGGTCCTTTTTTTTTTCAAAGCTGGTCTTTTGATCGCAACGGCTTTCATTTACAGGCAAATGTGCCATTAATCACGGCCGAGGTGCCTATAGTTAAATTATCTATCTGCACTTGCGATTCAGGAAATCACTAAGTAATAATTTACGCGTGATAATACTAATTACAACCGCAAATAAATTAATTTGACACTTGAAAATTACACGACGCCTGTATAATATAAAAAATCACGAATACAAGAAACACACGCCTACGTTGTATGCTATACCGTCGATTTTATATTACGCGACTCGCGTATGTCACGTAACAAGCAGCGCGTGTCTCACCGGAGTTATTTGCTCGACCTACTTTCCCGTGTCAATCGATGTTTCTTAAAGATTCGACAGGACCTAATACTCTTGTAATACTTCGGAGATGGATGTGCACGCTATATGTACAATGTTGATCGCGTGATCGCGATGTTAAGTGCATCGGCTTATCGATCCTGAAATTCACTGTACACACGAGTAACAAATTTTGTGGGAAATTTTTATTTTTTTATTTTTATTTTAATTAACCCTTTGGCTCGAGCAATTGAGCTTAAAGTTGCGCTCAACGACCCCTTTACCCGTTACACGGAACAAAGTGCCTATGTATAGATATACAGCTATATGCTACATTGACGTGGAGAGAGACGAGAAAAGCCGATAGCAGCCTTGCGTATGTAGTAACCGTGAAAAAATACTTGGAGAAAAAAAAAAACGTAAACTACAGACACTTACTTTGAGAGACTCGGGCAGGTAGGCGTCGAGAAAGTCCAGGAGCCGGGGCAATTCATCGTCGGCGAGCAGTCGAAAGTTACGGCCCCGTTTCAGCGCCTCCAGGCACTCCATACTGAAATACACATTGGGAGCTTTAATTAGCAGGGAATTTCAGTTTTAAGTTAACAATGGTTGGTAAATTTTTACAAGTTGACGTAGATTTTAGCTAAATTTGTTAATTTTTTTATTCGTATGGATTAATTTATTATTAAAAAATAATTTGATGTATGAAAAAATTGTATATCACATCGGGTTTTTAGGGTAACAACGATTTTTCAGATTCATGTAGCGGATATATTGTGCTATTTCGAGAAATTGCTCTTACAATATCCAAACTATTGTTATTTTTATTCCTCGTGCACTGAATCCCTGTTCCATATATTCACGTAAATCAAAATCATTTTACAAGTAATCGAGTGTACATGTACACGTATCAAACCAAAAATCGATACATTAACCAACACCAACAAGTAATCTTGAAATATATGATTACCATTCAGGAAAATTCACCACTGTGTATACACGTACAACGACCCAATGGACTCGTTCAAGTATCGCTTTTGTTGACGAGGATGACGGAATTTGTGAAAAAGTGCTCAAAAGTACGCAAACTATGCACCGCGAGCCGAACTACCGACTAATAAATTCTACGCGAAAATTCAAGCTCACCCCATGTACAACCCCTTTATACATAAACTAAACTCGCGGGACAAACTAAGGGATAAACAAATCATATGTACGTATACATTACAACTCTGCAGTGACTGCGCGAAATCGTCAGTCTTGGGGATCAACCACCTAAATATATATATATANGAGCATCAGCAGTAGAGAACGCGCTCAACCGCTACATGTACCCCTACGCTATGCGATTCTCGTCTCCTGGAATCGACAAAATGTCGCCCTGTGCGTCCACTATATATTATATAGTTGGGCCAAGGTCACGCGACCGTGCATGCATAGATACATCATACTCGAGGATGAGGTGATGAACAATCGATGAAAGTGACAGGGGGACGTTTGGAGAACTTGGCGTGTGATAATCGCCCAAGGGATTCGTAAAAATAATTACAGTCTAGTTGCGTGCGCCCTTATATTTATACATACCTGGGTACCTGTGTATATATATATATATTCCATAGCGTGCCATTCGACGATCGAATATCATGATTCACGTGCAGTACACGTATATAATTTTAGATGCCTGAATAATACGCGCACCTAGTTAATGGTGTTTTACCGCGTGAATGTAATGAAGGAAGGACAGGGGGGAGGCTATACGTAACGCAATTTTGTTGACGTAGACAAACGTAATATACACGTGGTAGTTGCATTAACTTTAGCCCCTTGCGTAATTGCCTTTGAGAGTGCAGCGTCCACGTATAGTTTTTAATTTATTGACAGGTAAATTGATTTGATTTCCATGCTACAATGCACCGTGGCTTGAAAAACTACGTACAGGAGATTAATATATGAAGTACACGTGCCGCAGATAGCAGTCAACTCGATATGAAAATTTAAAAAAATCTTCACAAACAAAAATTGAGATTTTAATCACGAGTAAATAGTTAGTAAAATTATGGAATCAAGACAATTAATACGGAATTCCAATATAATTTAATAATGAAAAATATATGCATTCTTTCGAGTATGATTATCATTTTTTTTTTTTTTCCTATATAGTAACTGTTAATCAATCAAATTGGGTTGGTACGAAAATATTCTAATCAACATTTTGAACAATAAATAATGATGGAAAATGTTAACAAAATTCTAAAAAGTGAGATTACATCTTACGCTGCGGGTCAAATAGTTTTATGCACATTACTATATTAATGTATATTTCTCGTATTGTAATTGTTCTTTGAAACAATCACAAAAAATATACAAGACTTAAATAAATATTTTCCATTACTTGTTTGAAGATGTTAAAACGGTACAACTTGAACTATTTGTCTATATGCAAATATTTCAACTTTCCACGTATTTGTCGAAAAAAATAATTTTTTTAAGACACCCAAAGCGCAAAGTTTTGTCTTTTGTGTGCAAAGTGCTCGATTAACAAATGAAGATACAAAGCGTGTATAAATGAAAAAAATCTTCTTTACAAACACCTTGAAATGAGAGTAGAGATGTTGTCTAAACAATACGCAGGGATTAAGTGGGATCGGTGACGCTATTCTTGCAACCACGAGAGAGAGAGAGAGAGAGAGATATGAGATTTGTGTGCACGGACGTGCATACACATGCGCGTGTGCTTGCGTAAGCTTTGTTTGAGCTATCGCGAGAGCTTCGGAAGCGATTGTATGACGGTATTTTTTTTTCTTCTTTTTTTATGTACGCGAAAAGTGATGAATGTTGTACGAGTATTGTCGAGTGCGGGTTGAAACTTAGTTGGCTACGAGTTTGATGGACGGCTTTTTTTTTCCCAAGACTCGATTTTTGTTTTTGTTTTATGTATTGCAACAGGAATACACATGTCAAACCAAACAAAATAAATGGTACGCTACTCGAAAATAACATACATATGTGTAAGTAAGACGTAAATTATACCTAATTGTAATCAACGAAAATAACATCATACAGTTAATCCGAAAATTTCGGTTATTCGTTCAAGTTTAAGCAGAAATACTTCTTAAACATAATTGTTTTTCATTCGTGTCGTGAAAAATTATTTTTTACAGTGTATAAAAGTACACGAAGTAAACGGTAACAACAAAGCAGGCAAACGAAACGAAGCACCGTGATTTAGTGGCTCGGAGTCCAACTGATCTGGTTGCGCTTTGGATTGTTCGGGAGCAATTTTTTTGTATCCCTGACGCGCTTATCGAATTACAAAAGCTCATCTTGACGTTGCTATTTTGATAATTGGAGAATTGGGCCAATTTCTCGGAGATCGATGTTTTCACCCTTGGGAGAAAAGTGAGAGCGATTTTGTAGCTTGTAACGGGCTACATTTTCATTGTTATAAATAAATCCATAAAGAATAGCATGAATAGTATTTAATCCTGTAGTTAAATTTGCCACATAGTTTGTAAGAAAAGTGCGTGGAAAATATTTTCACAAAATAGCAGGAGGGGTTTGTTGAAATTTTTTCACAGTGCGAAAAATACTTGGTATGTTGAGTAGATCCCTTTTTTTAGTTGGCACATCTAACACTAAGTCATGGAGTTTTACTTTTAAAATTTAATTTTTTTTACCTGATGTCTTTGATTGAAACTTAAATGTACCCTCTGACACATTATTGTAATTAAATATATATGCAGCAAGAAATCTGGTTGCAAAATAAAAAAGTAATAATTTGCAATTAGCAAATCGTATCTATAATTTTGAGTATATGATAATTGTCACGTGAAAATTTGGAAAATGCACTAACAAAATGATGAATGATATCCATGTGAACAAAACGACGATTTCGTAGTATACTTAGTATGATTAAATTTTCTCGGAATGACTCATGTGGATGGAACGTCTAGCTTGGCTCAGTTTCTAATTTGAAATGAACCAGTTCCGTGAAAATAGATGAAGAACAAAAGAATGAATAATCCATGTTTTATGCATATTTACTTTATTGTATACATAAAGCTATGGTAAAAAAATCATAATTAATAATAGTGTTGGAATCGTTAAACAAACAGCAATATGCATAGAAATTTGATTATATTTTTGTTTGTATAAGTCATAAACACAATTTCGAGATAAAAAACTGAATAATAATATACAACGATGGTTTTGGTAAGTACGTATCAAGCTTGATATCAGCGTTGTATCGCTATGTGTTCTTCCGGCACTAGCGTAAGTGCTTAATTAACCAATACCTCGAAAATGTATTTGTGTGCTTTAAAATTAAATCCCAGAGTATCCCAGTGATTAACGACTTTGTATGATTAAAATTAACGTGAATAAAATTTATTTTATACCGATTTCAACCTAATCTTCAACTTTTCAAACTTTTTTTTAATTGTAGTATGCACCAGTTAAGGGTAAACGTTACAAATTGACCTACTTTTAGGTTGTAAGAGAGCCAACATCGTTCAGTTCGAGATAGAATAGTGTTGACTCGTTTATTAGTAGTAAGTAAAGTTGTATTAGATCATTTTTGTTCAGAAGTGGGACATTTGTTCAACAGTGATGATTAAGTTTTATGATAAGTTGATATAACATTTTTCTAATAATTTTTTATGAATTGTTATAATATAAAAATTGCACGATTCAAGAAAAATACATTATTTCATTTTTTATTTTTTACTTTCAGCTTATAAAGAAAAATGATGCAGTACTCCACGTGAGTTTAGTTGAGAATAAAATTTCGTGTGAAAAAAATTGGGAATCCCATCACATGGGAAAACAAATTCAAATCTAGTGCTTTAATCTTGCACGAAGCAAAACTATTTAAAATCGTTATTACAAAAAAAATTAAAAACATAAAATAACTCTGAAGTATTATAAAAAGCATCTGTTCGAACAACGTATGCGTATCATTTGAGAGAGTTTTTCCACTTTAATGAACAGAGGAACACTCGCAACGCAGTACGACTGGTGATTGTAGAAAAAATTGAACTAATAATCCGGAGCTTATCCAACTCGCAAGCTGCCAGCTGCGTCAGCGATGGAAATTGCCAGCCTTTGTCTCTTTGGAGGATTTTTTTAGCTCATTGTTTTTTCACAGATTTTTTTCTCGTGGCTATTGTACGATAGCGTTTTTTTTAGCATTAAAAAAATGTGTTGACCAACCAAATAAGTATCGACGTTGGTGCTTTATTATTAATTTTTGTAACTCTATATTTGTTGGATTATGTTTTATTTTATTTTTGTTACAATATTTTTTCACATGCATAATATGCCCTTACCATACCAAAAAAATTAATAATAATAAATTAGTTTTTGAATAAATATTTCAACCAAGTAAGAAATCTAAAAATCTATTAGTAGCTCATGCTTACGCCCATAATTTAATTGAATGACGGAATACCCTAAGCGGTCCTGCGTATGAATATATAATTATATAGAGATTCCATATGCGCAAATAGGGCAAACGAAGCACGGATCGAGGCGTGGCTTTGATTGTACTTA